TTGATCTGCAGTAGGAACCCTTCTTTTATAAAGCTCCTCAGACAAGGCTCGTTTGCCACAAAGCCGCCTCTTTAGACTCAAACTCTATACACAACTGATGGACCTAACGAGATATGCTCTTCGTTACTTTGCGCTAGGTGTCCTGCATTTTGTTATTTCTGAGACCTAAAGAAGTCTGCTATGGGGTCTCTCAGCAGAGATTCGGCTGCACGTCTCGTTATTTTACGGTTGAGATGGCGAGATTCAACCATAAGTTCTATGCTAATAATTTCTTCTCTCGCACTTCTCACATGTGGAAAATTCACTTCAGGTTGCTTGCTTCCTATGATGTTCGAAAAATTAAGGGCAATATCAATCGTTATCTTCTATCGTCTTAATTCCTGTTCTTTTATTGTTCTGATAATATTTTCAGCGAAATGAGTATGCTATTAATTACTCTACGTTAGGTAATTTCTATTTTTCTATTTAAAGAGACTAGGCTAATCTGGCACAAGACCACCTCATGAGCCTCAGTCACACTATACGAGCAAAAACATCTAGCGAAATGAGTATGCTATTCATTACACTACATTAAGTGCTTTCTATTGTCCTATTTACAGAGACTAGGCTGGTCTGGCACAAGACTACCTCATGAGCATCATTCAAACTATACGAGGAAAAACAGCGAAATGAGTATGCTATTCATTAATCTGCGCTTGTAGCACTTTGTTGCTATTTCCTGAGACAAGAACTGTCTAGCACGTGGCTGTCTTATTAGCTTTAATTCCCTACACGTCTAACAATATAACTATCCTTCCTATTCGTTAATCTAAATTAGGAAACCTCTATTTCGCTATTTAATTATTGATTGTTTTGTTTTTTACGGCTATTAAGGGTTATCTAAAACCAGAAAATATTTTTAGATTATAATAATTTTTTACATAATGATTTTTACTGATACAAGTTCTGTTATTTAACCCATAGCTCGGGCACAAGAAGTAAATTTACGCATTTCTCATTGGTATTTGCGCATACATAGCTTGTCTCAAGGAGTCTGATGTTGAATTGGGCGAAATTTTAATATCCCTTTCAGAGCCCAAACAAAAAATAAACTAAGCTTTTTAACGTTCTTAAGATCCTGACATATTTCTTTAATAATATTAACGTTTTTAATTGATGATTTTACAAGTAAAAAAAATTTAAGTGTTTCATTTTGCACTGATTGGGGTCTAATTACCAACAGATCTAGATTCTAATCGTGTCTTTAAGTGTTGAGAGCTAAAGAATCATATCAGATAAAGGACAAAGTTTCGTGGATCAATATTTGGAAATATCTAAAGAGACCGCTCGTGAAAACCATTTTTTTTTCTATTTTATCTTTCTCTTTGAGAATTTTTTTTTTTTTTTTTACATTTCCATTTTGTCTCAATCTTTCAGGTTATTTCTTTATATTCTTACTATCGGTATTTTTTCTTTCTTTCTTTCTTTCTTTCTTTCTTTCTTTTTGTTTTCTTTCTTTCTTTATCTTTCTAATTTTTTTTTTGTTCTATATTTCATTTTTCATTCGGGATATTTTATTCTTTTTTTATTAGTTTTTTTTTCTTAATTCTTATCTATATATCTTATTTATTTTACATTCCATTTTTCTGTTCTGATTAGATTTTTTTTTTTTTTTTGCCGTTTTTCATTCATTCTTTCTTTTTCGTTTATTTTCTATCATCGTCTTTTTAGGTTTCCATTTTTATTCATTTCAGCTAAAAACAGTTTATTCTTCTTTTCATTCGGTTTTGCTATCTACTTTTAATTATGTGTCTTCTTCCTTCTTTTACATTTTCATTTTATATTTTATGGCCTCATTTTCATTTTTATTTTCTTTCTTTCCACTTTTCTTTCTTTCTTCCATTAATTTGGCGGAATTGCTTTCCACCAGTCTTATCTTTGAATCTGTTCATGCTGGTGCTTACTTTCATAATTACCTACTTTTTTACTTATTATTTTACCATTTTTTTTTTCATTCATTTTATTCCTTCTTGCTTTCTATTTTCATCCTTCCTTCGCTCATCATATTTATTAGAATCGTTTTTTTACTGTTTTACTTTTCATTTACTGAGTGAGAGTCGGCACACGTTTTCATCTTTCCCGTCCAAAAGACCACTGCGCATGCGTTATTTTCTTACATCCATTTCCGACTTGATTCACGGCGGCGTCCATTACGCCTACGACTCTGTCTGCTGGAAGACCCTTCAGTTAGCGTAAATTCATAAAGTTCAAACTGAATGCGTTTTCCGAGAGATGAAGGAGAAATACGTTTCTGTATAATTAAGTAAGAGTATAAAAGATCGTTTTAATTATCATTATTATTTTTTTTTCTTTTGCTTTCTCTCTTGAATTAAAAAAAATCCTTTTGAGTCTTTCAGGCTCATTGTTTAAATGTGTAAAAATGATATATATATATATATATATATATATATGTATGTGTGTGTGTGTGTGTGTGAGTGAATTTATATGTATATATATTTACGAGGAAGTATTGAAAGTACGGCAGTTTCATAACTTGACGCAGATCAAATTCTTCCTTTTGAAGGGTATCTTAGCGACGTAGATAAGTTTTTAGCACCATATATATATATATATATGTATATATATATATATGTGTGTGTGTGTGTGTTTGCCACCTGCGTATATAAACAATGGTGCAGAAATTGGAATTGACATATTATGTGCAACTGACGATTGATTTGTTAACGAACGTAGATGGCATAATCCAGAGAAACAGATTATACACACACACACACACTATATATATATATATATATATATAGATCGCACACATATATATATATATATATATATATATATATACATCATATATATATATATATATATATATATATATATATATATTTTCCATTTTATCATGTGTTATATACAATTTATGTATCATATTCAATAATATGTATATATACCCAAAACATCCTCAATAACGCATTTCACCATTCACAAGACTTGGGTGTGTTAAGCAGTCCTTTTTCAGAGAGAAAATCGCCACAAAGGATTTTTTTCTATTTCGTCACTCATATACCCACCATAAGTCAGATATATAGAATTTATATATCATTTATATATATATATATATATATATATATATATATATTCAAGAAGGTAAGGAATGCTTTCCTCCAGATGATGTCTTCAATTTATTCTTCCATATACTTAAAGAAGCAGTCCAGTAAGACGCCTCTATAATTTTCGGAAGAGTCGTTAATCAAATAGAACAAAACGTATATTTTCTCACACATAAGGTCTTCAACTTCTTTTGCTGTGATTTCTCCCGTATAGGACCTTGCATTATTAGGAATACTATTCATCAAACAGATGAATTAATATTCACCAATTATATCGTCAAAATATTTAACGATATAATTCGTGACAACAGATGCTTAATCTAAAAATAAAATTGATTGATAACCATTAAAAAATAGTCTGACAAATTCTTTCGTTTAATGTATCTATCTCATCAGCACAATTATGATTTCAAATAGCTTCGACAGTATTAATGACTTTTCTAAACTTAGTCTTTTATATAACTAGTGCTCTGTGCTCACATCCATATTTATGTAGGGTAGAGTAATTAAAACAGTTGAATGTGAAAATGTAACTTACCAGTGTGAGACTTTACAAAAATATACTAGAATGTATTTTTATCCTTTAAATATTTGGGAATAGCACAAAATGCGCCAACACACATACATAAGAGACGAATTTGTAAACAGTCATAGGTACTGCTGATAATTCAAGACTCTCCTAGCAAGTATTGAGTTCTCTGAGTGGCTGGCGTGATTATGAAAAAATAAACAAGCAAAAATTCGCCTTTCTCTCTGCCGAGCGTCGATGGTTAGGGGTTAGATTCTCCGACTGATACCATATCGTTCGGATTACGGTCCCTGAAGCGATCGGATGTCTATCCACACTGATGAGCTGTGAAACAGCGAAACAGTCTGTCTGAAGATATTAGCGCTCGATAAGATGGTTTATAATAAAATAATTTAAAACAACTAAACTTATCAGCAACAATAAAAACTCATCTACAGACAAAATCTCGGCCGTTGTACGCTCCGGTCTTCTTCGGGTGGTTGGAATGTCGAACTGAACCCTTTTAGGCGTTAGTTAGATCCAGTGACAGGACCCAAAGAGTGTGAGTTCAATACCCGGTTAAGGCAGTGGAGAACATTCAGAGAGGAGATAACTGATAACTGACATCCATTAAACATGGAACGTGGAACTAGAACAGTCTACCCCAGTGAGCGAAATAAAGGGTTCGGTTCGACATTCCAACCACCTGAAGAAGCACGGAGCGAATAACAAAGATGAGGAAAATAATCCGAATAATGTAAATAGTGTACATAGTACCTCATCTCAGAAATATAAACAGATTCTCAGAGATAATAGTGAACAACCCCAATATGGATTTAATAGCCTCACCAAACCGCAATTGATGAAGCGCGGGGAGAGATTCCCCAAGGAGGATTAAGTCGGCCTTGGATTTAGAGTTATATATGCGTATGTGTGTGCTTGTCATAAACTTTTGTTAAATACGCTTAGCGTTACTGAATTCGATATATAATTACCGCCCCACTAATATAGTCTTTAACCAGTGTCAGGGACTTCGTTATCACGTAAAAGTGAATTGCTAATCAGAAGTGAGTTTGAACCACACCTGATGCCCTATATTGATGGCCTTGTACCAAACGTACGATAAGCTTAATTAATCTCTCTCTCGTTCTCTCTCACTGCATTCGACCAAGCTGCGCCCTTTTATGTTGTTTTCGTTTTTACTTTTACGATTTTCATTTTTAGACCAACATCAGACACTCAATTCCTCAATAACCAATAATCAATATCTAATATTGATTAGTAATTTTGGGCGCCGAGAAAATTCCATCTGCCATTTGGGAGAAGTTGGTAATTATTTCTGACATTTTTATGAGGAATTTGGGTCAGTCAAAATGCAAGTTCTATGTTTAAAAATCAAGTTGAATAAAAAAAAATGGCGAGAAAGGAAATCGAAACGAAAGAAGGAAGTGAAGGCAAAAAAGAGAAGGAAAGGAAGCAGAAATGAGAAAGAAAGAAAGAAAGAAAGAAAGAAAGAAAGACAAGTAAAAAGATGAGCGAGAAAAAATGAAAAACTGCATAAAAAGAAAGAAAAAGAGAAAGAAAGAGGAAATGAACAAATAGAATGCAAAGAGAAAAGAAAGAATAATTAGAGATAAAAGAACGAAAGAAATAGAAAGAAAAAAGAAAGAAAGAAAGAAAGAAAGAAAGAAAAAGGAAAGAAAGAAAGAAAGAACAAAGAACAAAGAAAGAAAAAAGAAAGAGAAAGAAAGAAAGAAAGAAATTAATGAATTATTAGAATGGAATCTGTAACAAAACAGATAAATAAAAAGAATTATGAAAATATAAGGATACTGTAAAAGAAAGACAAAAATACCTTTAAAAATGACCGAAATTGTTCTTAACCAGGCAAAACAAATAATGAGCCATCATTTTGAATGCTGATCTTCTAGGCAGGTAAATCCTTTCCATTTGGTAGACGAGGGTAAATTAATCTTTCAACGGTCATTTCCTCTTCATTTAATTGAATTTGTCGAATCCAAAATACTTCACATTTTGATAATTTTTTGAAAAAAAAAACAACACTTAACTGTACAGGACAAATGGCTGACATTTTTATATGTTTCTTGTAAGTAATTCTATTTGATATTCAAGGTAAGGTTAAAATAGGCATGATCTCCTCTGTTTTAAAATTGGCGTAGCATAATTTTTCTTAACCAAGCTTTCATTATTTGCGTTGAATTTCACTTGAGTAAGTAGAGACTATATCTGAAATTTGATCTTTGGTGTAGAATCGAACATTGGTAAATATGTTTGAAACTAAATCTTTTTATTCAGGCACGTATTTTTCTAATAAGATGTCTCGAATATTCAGGCCGGTAGGTGGAAATAAATAAATATACTGTTTTATAAAACGACGGATCTACTCAAATATGGGTTTCCATTGAAAATAACACTTAATTAATAAATTAAAATATGTCGAATTAATAAATTGAAAATTCATTCCCATATATATATATGTGTGTGTATATGTGTGTATATGTGTGTGTGTGTAACTGTAAAATTGTCCAAATTGTGTAATAACATGGGATAATTTTCCACCCACAAAATGTTTTATATCTGAAAACCACTAAAGCTTCTCTTACCAGGTTTTCAGATAAATCATTTAGCCATCTTGACACCATTTGTCGTAAGAATCACTGAAAAACCCTTTGAGTTATTCAGCTAGAAAGAGAACAGGTTCAAATCGTTTTGTGGCAGCTCCACTATGTCTTCCCAACTAAGCAATGGTGAGAGGAAAAAGATCATTCACTCTTTCAGTAATGGTAACAACATTCATACTCTGGCTTCCATCTTCAAAGTTCATTCAAGAACCATCAAGAGAACGGTGGATAAATTTAAAGGGAGAACAGTAGAAAAGAAAAATGGCTCAGGAGGTCACAGCAGGAAGAGGGATCATTTATTTCAACTTACAGCGAAATACATTCTTAATTTTTAAAGTAGATTCCAATAGTTTTAGAAAGCGCTCGGAGAATTCCAATAAGATATCTTTAATCATTTCTAAGGTACAATGGTTCAAAGCTTAATCTAACAATTGTAGAATTTTGCTGTTACACACGGTACGTCTAAATTCACCTTCAATGACTTAGAGGTAAAATCTCCGACTGATACCAAATCAGTCGGTTTCGATCCCGGTTTAAGGCAATCGATGTCTAGCCACACTGATGAGCTGTGAAACAGCGAAACAGTTTGTGTCTAGATGACAATATATATATATATATATATATATATATATATATAAATATATATATATATATATATTATTCGGATTTACTCCAAGCAAGTCCGTAAAGTCACTAAGATACAAGGAGTTATTAGAAAGTCATTAGTGTCCAGTCAGATTGATGGCTGCCGTATTAATAGATTTTCAGTCATTAATGTACGCACCTAGAACATTCATGCTGCTTTATTTCGAATGTTGTTTAGGCGGACCCTAAAACTATTCAATGCTTGACATGACATAATATTCCCTCCTTTCTATCCACCTAATTGGTCTTGTGTAAACCTATGATAAATATAGTAATTATCAGTAAATAAGCCACCCTAATAGAAAAAAAAACTGTTAGAAATTATTCATGAAAGAGGATATGCTATGAAGGGTAAATGACAAGTAATAATTTCATAAAGAAATAAATGTAAAAAAACTGTATAAAACCGATAATAGGCAGGAACCTCAAAAATAAGAAAGAGAAAGCACTTAAAAAAACCAAAAGTAACAAGGAACAATTTTGGTGTTACATGATTTGGACAATTTTGCTGTTACACGATTTGGACAATTTTGCTGTTACACGATTTGGACAATTTTGCTGTTACACGTGTTGGTCAGTTTTGCTGTTACATAATTTGGACTATTTTGCTGTTACACAATTTGAACTTTTTGCTGTTACACGATTTGGACAATTTTGCTGTTACACAATTTGAACAATTTTGCTGTTACACCAGATATATAATACGGCTTTCTGTGTTTTAAGTTATCATCATACAAAATATCGGTGCATAGGAAGATGCAGTATCTTTTGAAAGATATAAAACTGAACATCAAAAAATAAGAAAGAGGAAGCAGTTGAAAAAAAAAAAAACGAAAAGAAACAAGAAACGTTTTTTGCTGTTACACGATTTGGACAATTTTGCTGTTACACGATTTGGACAATTTTGCTGTTACACGATTTGGACAATTTTGCTGTTACACCCGGTATATAATACTCCCTTCCGCGTTTTAAGTTATCATCATACAAAATATCTGTGCATAGGCATTTACAGTATCTTTTGAAAGATATGTTTTGCATTTTACTATTTAAAGCTTAAATGTTTTCTCGCTGTAAAATCCTTGCAAAGATACTTTTATACTCATGTATCGATCACAAGATTGGACTTCTGTTTTGTGAAGCATTTGTTAAATATGGATATAAACGGTTTGTATTAATAGGATCCATGAAAGAAATTCAACTCTCTCTTCCTTCTGTTTAACCTTTTAAAATCATATTAAATATACGTTGTTATGAACAATCAAGAGTGGTCTCCCCTTGTTCTGTTACTCTCCTTTGTGAGAGCTATTCTGTTTACTAGGATTATAAAAGTAAATTATAAAAGTAAAAATATTTGTCATTACATACATATGCGTTGTTTTCCCAAATTCGGAAGGAAAGTCGTTTTATTACTGTATATGATTTCTAGACTAGGAACAAACAGCCTACATGCCGATTGATAAGTTATTTCGTGAATACCCAAAGCTAGAAACAGTAAAACAAGAATGGGTCTTCTCACCGTATTAATATAACCTATACAGCAAGATGCTATGAAACCTAAAAACTCTAGCAGGATTTACAATCGGTGACGATAATCTTAACAAAACAATATACGCAGATGAAATTGTATTGACAGAAGAAAAGCAAGAAGAAAGGACTGTTAACTGCAAGACGGTAGAAAAAGACAGACCACGATGTGAGCTATGAATTAGGGACGTCAAAATCAAGCATGTAACTATCTGGGTAGTGTCGTAAATGTGAGAATGAGGTGGACTGGGATCCATAGCATCTCACGCGGTCGGTGCATTGATTGCACGGTATCGCTGAACGGTGGGATCCCTAGACTGTAGTAAATGGCCAGGTCGGATAGTTTTCCCGAAGGAATCAACGGCCAAGGCGATCATTCAAGTTGGAGGACATCGGCTAGTGCTTGACTTGGCGATAGATGGGCTCCACAAGATCGGCTTGCCCAAGACACGTTATGCATGAATGAATATCTCACAGGCCTTCAATCCAGTTATGTTAGGGAATTGCTCAGCTGTTCAAATGCGCAGTGACTCTACGACCATACCCAGTCATTAGAAGGATTCTAATGCTGTTACTGCTGCTGCTGCTTTTGTTGATGATGACGATGATGATGATGATGATGAATAACTCTCTGGCTTTAAACCCAGATATGTGACGACCACACCTGGTTCGGGGACTGATGTCGACGACGACGACAGTGGATCAACCACTCTCTTCTTTTTGGTCATGCTATTTGACGATGGTGTGAAATGCAAAGGAAATAGTATTCATGCCTTTTCTTCAAGAATCTTATTTCGAAGAATTAAGCAACCCTGGGAATCCATAATTTAAGGTGAAACAATTCTCTTCGTCGAAAAAATGACGACGTGAAAAGAAAATTAATGACACGTTTAGATTAAAAACAAATAAACTCAAGTAAAAAAAAAAATGTAAAATAAGTTTGGCATAGAGCACTTTAATAAATAAATGTTGATTTTAAGGAGCCACGGAAACCAAGTCCCAGAATAACAAATGTACTTATTAACTTTACATACAAGGTCAGGAAGGCAGATTAAGTGATGATGATATACGATGCTTTTCCAGTATTGTCTTTTCACAATTTAATAGCACTTACATGTGACGTTAATACTCGCTTTTGATTCTGCTTACCTTTGCTAGTTGAGGAGATTAAAAAGCGCCGAAAAAAAGGAAATAAGTACTAAAAACCGGATATAACGTAAATCTGAAAATTATTAAAGTATATATTTTTGTCGAAATGTTGTGCTAAAAAAAATGGCTTTCCTCATTCAACGAATAGTGAAATAATCCGAGGTATGTTTTAAAAAAAAGTAACGGTCTATTTTAATAAGTGACAATATGGCGTCTGCCTAAAAACAAATTCCAGTTGCTTTTTTTTATTCAGTAGTGGAATGACTATGTAAAATCCGCTTCTATTGTCTCTCCCTCCTTTTTCCACTTTTGTTCTTTGTCCTTCTTGAAAGAAATCCTTTTTAATAACGCTTATACCTTTTCCTAAATACTAACTCCTCGCGTATATTTCTGTAGCATATTTATTTCGCTTTGCTCTTTTATTCAAATTGCAGTAAATGACGCCTTTGTCGTGTATACAGACTTCCATGTTACGTGTTGTGTGTTTCCGATTGCCTGACGTCATTTCCGTTTTCATGCAAACCCATCATCCGCCATTTTTATTTCTATTATTTCTTCATCATTTTCTTTGCCAATTTTATTCATTCGCTTTCTTTCTTTTTTCTCACAACCTGTTAGTTAGGTTCCCTTTTATACGTTTTTACGAAATCTGCGAGTCTTTGAAAATTAATATTTTATATTTTGACTTTTTTTCTATTTTTTTCTATCTATAAATCAATCTGGTGTATTCAATAGGTTTTACTTTTTTCTAGATGCGTTTTTTTATTTTTTATTCTCGTTCACCTTTATCCCTGGATTTCTTAATTATTATTTTAATTTATTCTTTTCTTTCTCCTTGCACTCACCGGCTGCTAGCATTTATTTATTTATTATTTTTCTCAGTTTATATTTTATTCTATTTTTTCTGTATTTGAAACTCGTGTAATATAAATAACTTCATCTTTCACTGATTATTTTTTTTTTAGATTCGCGATTTTTACTTTTTCTATTATCGTGTATTTTTTTCACGCTGCCAAATTCCTTTTCATTTGCATTTCGTAATCTTAATTCGTTTTTGTTTTTCCTTCTTAACGTTATAATTCTTCCTTTTATTTTAGATAGAACATTTTCTTTCGTACACTAACCTTCGCATTTTTCCTTCAATTTGTAAGTTGCCATTTTTTTTCGAATTTTTAACCTTTTCTTTATTTTCTTTTCGTTATGCGTTAACTCATTTTTTGTTAGTTTTTACTGTTGTGTTTATTGCTTTTGTCTTTTTCGTCATTTTGCATTCCTTCGTTCTACTTACTTTTGTACGTTTATGTCTTTTTTTTACTACATTGACTTTTATTTGTTCTTTCTATTTTCACTTTTCTTTTCATGAGTTATTACTTGGATTTCCTTTCTCCGTCATTCTTTCTTTCTTTCTTCTACTTTACTTTTGTCCTTTCTTTACTTTTCTTCCTTTCTGTCTAAATTTCTTATTTTATTTTTTACGAGTTTTTATTTGAATTTCCTTTCTCCGTATTTCTTTCTTTCTTTGTTTTTCTTCTTCTACTTTACTTTTTTCCATTCTTTAATTTAATTCTTTTTTGTTTTAATTTCTGATTTTACTTTTTACATGTTTTTATTTGGATTTCCTTTCTTTATTTTTTTTATTCTATCTTTTTCCTTTCTTCTATATATATATAAGTTTTATTTCATTATGTTTTTACAGTCTTTAATTCGAATTTTCCAAGCATTTTATTATTATTTATTTATTTTGCTTTTTTTTTCCATGTCTTTTTTTTGCCACCGTTATTCATTTTTTTCCTTACCGTATTTATTCATACACCCATACACACGTATACGCCGACACACTCATTGTCATTCTCTATAACTTTTTCCCCTCAGATCCATAACTTCTGCCTTCTTGCATGATACTCTTTCCAGTTATTTAAACGCAAATCCATTCACCGAAAAATTCCATCCATCTCGATTGTTCATTCTCTCCATTCACCTGATAATTTTCATTATTCTATTCACTCAATATCTTCATCAGGTAATTTTTTTCCGCCATTTCTTTTGCTTCGACATACTTTTGAAATAAGGGACAAACTCACCCAGAAAATTTTTTCTTTGAAAGAACTCTCTAAACAGCCACAGTTAGATTTTTCACTGTGATTTGGTCTATCATGAACTGTGTGAATTTAAAATTCTGGACGAGCAAGGCGATCTGACTGAACCTTTAGAAAAGCTTTCAATACTGAACAGCCATCATGGCCGCCCAATTTCATAAGTCCAACGAGACTATTCTTGGATTCTCATCATTGAACGAGACTTCGGCGTGACCATGTTTTATGCAATAAAGATAATTCTTAATCATTATTGATTTAGCTTCACACTAACATCACAGACGATCGTTTGAACGTAGAGGTGTACTGATATATCTCTTTGTATTATTAAAGGCAGCGTTTTCTGATAAACTTTTTGCAAGGAAGAAACGACAGCAAACAGAAACATTCATAATATTCACAACAACGCTTTTAATATAGATTTCTTCTTTTTCAGTAACCTGTGCATTGCAACTCATTCCATGGATTATATGCAGGGACGCTCTCGGTTACTTTCTTTGATAAGAAAAGAATTTCATCTTGTGTCTCTGTTGAGTAAGGAAAGTGGGTTACAATTCGTTTAACTTATGAACCTGATTTAGCCAGATTCTTTCAATAATACGGCACATCAAGAAAACATTTTTTTATCTGTTGAATGAAGTTACACTCGACTAAATTGAATACGATGATTCTGAAGCTGTTCCCCGAATTTTCTTAGCACCCAAGTTTTTTTTTATTTTATTTTTAGATATGCTTATAGAAATTTTAAATTGAGTTTGTTTTTATGAAATAAGTCTATAGACTGTTGTCAAATTCCAAGGAAGAATCATCAATGCTATCGGCCATGACAAGTTATCTCGGGTTTAATCAATTTTCTACCGTTGTAATGTAGTTTTCTTGTCACTTTTCTATAAATATTTTCCTTCAAAATCTGTCTATACTTCTGAGATGAGGTATTATGTACACTATTGTCATTATTCGGACTATTGTCCTCATCTTTATCGCCATATTTATTACAACGTTTCGGCCGTTGTACGCTCCAGCCTTCTTCAGTATCTTTCTATATTTTTGAGATGAGGTATTATGTACATTATTTACATTATTCGGGCTATTGTCCTCATCTTTGTCGCCATATTTATTACAACGTTTCGGCCGTTGTACGCTCCGGCCTTCTTCAGTATCTGTCTATATTTTTGAGATGAGGTATTATGTACACTATTTACATTATTCGGTCTATTACCCTCATCTTTGTTGCCATATTTATTACAACGTTTCGGCCGTTGTACGCTCTGGGTTTCTTCAGGTGGTTGGAATGTTGAACTGAACCCTTTATTTCGCTCACTAGGATAGAATGTTCTAATTCCACGTGCCATGTTTTTTTTAATGGGTGTCAGTTATCAGTTATCTCCTGTTAATTTTCCCTCTGATAATTTTCATGACAGGACCCAAAGAGTGTGAGTTCAATACCCGGTTAAGGCAGTGGAGAAGTTTCAGAGGGAAAATTAACAGGAGATAACTGATAACTGAGATCCATTAAACATGGCACGTGGAACTAGAATAGTCTACTCCAGTGAGCGAAATAAAGGATTCAGTTCGACATTCCAACCATCTGAAGAAGGCTGGAGCGTACAACGTCCGAAACGTTGTAATAAAAATGGCGACAAAGATGAAGACAATTGTCTGAATAATGTAAATATTTTCCTGGTAATTCTTTAATTCTTCTGATATGTTGTCCTTTTTGATGTCTCAACTCCACGAATTTAAGCGCAGCTAGGCGTCACCATTTTACTGTTGAAATTACTAACTGCAACCGTAAGTTTCACGTGAATATTTACTTATCTTACAATTCTCGCTAGTGGAACTCACTTCCAGCTTCTTGCTTTCCTGTCACCTAAGATATTCAAAAATGTCAACGTCAATCATCTTCTGTCGCCCTGAACCCTGTACTTTTATAGTCACTCTCTCCCCAATTATATCTCATCGGTTTCATTCGTTCTCAGTAATACCTTGCGTCTTCGTGGCCTTATCACTTTGTTTGGGGTGAAATGCTGTTAAAGGAATGTTTACCAAAATAAAAGGTTCGAGAACCACTCAAAGTAAATAGTTCATGAATGAGGTTTGTTTTATATACACAAGCGGAGAAAGTACAGATTACAAAGATGTGTAGAACTGATTGATTGAACTAGACTTAAAAAGGTTAAAATCGTAGTGATCGGGGAAGTATCGTCCAGCTGATTATTAATGTTTATGCTCCTAATTCTTACACACCTTGTAACCACTTGTGTCTTAGTGGATTTACTGCCTTTCGTGGAGTGATACCGACTAAAAAAAATACTATTCATTTTTCAAAGCATTTTCCATTTACTTAAGCTTAATATTATCTAGAAAACTCTCACGTTTATCATTAAATCTAACTCCGCAGGATCAATCTTGGACATTGGTATACATTTATATCTCGTAACTAAGGTATGGATATTGGTAGAATACAGAATAATATGCGAGTAAAA